AGATTAGTAATAAATCGTACCAATGACATATTTATATGAGACGAACACATATTTATATGAGAAAGGGACCACACTGCCAATACGTACAGCCTTGGCGCAGCAAGAAACTTCCTGGGCTTGCAGGGATGTAACAGAAGCGGTTCCAATACCGACATTTTAGTTTTACCCATAAACCTGGCAAATCGGCAGTATCTATTGCCAAACGTTGAAAAGGTTCATGATCCAAAATCAGACTTACATAGTAAATGTATTTACCAAAAATATCAATCCCAGCGCCTACACTCAAGCAACGATTACCAAAGACAGTGTTTGTCTTTTGCACTAACCATCCAGTACCCGGCCACTGTCGTGTTTAAAATCTGTCGATAAATTGCAGGACAACTTCAGCAACTGTTTTGCTTTTAATTAAAAGTTTTGGCCTTTTTTGCTAGTTTACACATGAATATAAAACAAGGTTACTTTATAATTGTTACAAGGGCGAGTATCGAAATAGTCATTTAATCTCAAGAGGAGATTGCCGCAGCCTCTTAGTTTGAAAGGTTCGAGAGAAGTGGGACTGTCCCAGCATCAGTACCCACATCGTGGCTGAACTGAAAGAAGACAATGCATGCTTCAACATAGTAGTAGGTTCATCGCCTGACATGGATGGCATAGCACCTGACGGAATCAATGATCCCCGTAAATAATTACTTGAAACGTGAAGAGAGGTTTATATTACAGCAGACGTTATTGATTGCAAAGTACTCATGACGACATTTTTTTGGAATATAAATTAATCCGAGATTAAGTAAACATGCAATATTGGAATTCACACAGACCACATTCTTAGCCGGAATGAACATTGCAGAATATCAAATTGAGATCTTTCGTTCCGTAAGCTTAAATATGTTTTTAAGCGCGAACTATAAAAGAGATGCTTAGAAAAAGGATTTATATCCACAACAATGTATCATTGCCCTTGTATTAACCATAACAACAAATCATTGACTTGGTATTAACCATAACAACATATCATTGACCTGGTATTAACCATAACAACATATCAATGGCCTGGTATTAACCATAACAACATATCATTGTCCTGGTATTGACCATAACAACATATCATTGCCCTGGTATTAACCATTACGATATATCATTGTCCTGGTATTAACCATAACAACATATAATTGACCTGGTATTAATCATAACAACAAATTATTGCCCTTGTATTAACCATAAATACATCCTAGTCCACTGTCACAGTATCGGTGTGGCGATTCAAATCTTCAATCAACAAAGAGTAACACATGTGGGATTGGAGTTCTACGTGAGCGCGAGTGCTGGCAAATACCAACACTCCTATGTCGCCTTTCTTCCTCAATACACATCTAGAAAACTCTATAATCACCTCACTGTTTATTTTCATGTGTACAATCTAGTCCTTTTCCAGCTTCAAAGTCATCTGTCTCACTTCTGTTTTTGTGGAACTCTCCACCCAGCCGTACCAAGGGCGCTTTTCCAGCTTCAAAGTCATCTGTCTTACTTCCGTTTTTGTGGAACTCTCCACCCAGCCGTACCAAGGGCGCTTTTCCAGCTTCAAGGTCATCTGTCTCACTTCCATATTTGTGGAACTCTCCACCCAGCCGTACCAAGGGCGCTTTTCCAGCTTCAAAGTCATCTGTCTTGCTTCCGTTTTTGTGGAACTCTCCACCAAGCCGTACCAAGGGCGCTTTTCCAGTTTCAAAGTCATCTGTCTTACTTCCGTTTTTGTGGAACTCTCCATCTTGCCGTACCAAGGACGACAACTTCCGTAACATATATGTGTGTTGTCGTAAACATCTACTATTTATCAAATAGCAAACACAACAACTTTACCGTCAATGTGTCGTATTTTCGTTCTCAGTATCAAGAATATTTTACCCAACAATGGTGTTTGCAAATAATGTAATGTAGCTTTATTCTATACAGTCTATTTCCCATTTACACGGAACACATAACATTCACAAGAATGTCCATCAAGGAATATGCTCTCCACTCTTGAGTCTTGACATTGAAAATCATTAGGATTACACGAGCAGTAAGCTAATTGAAAATTGCTCCATTACGAGAGCTTGCAGAGGGATCGCCCCAAACGGCAAAAGCAGTCAGTCGCAGTGACATCTTTGATGAGAAAGACCTTCTATTTATCTGTTGGTCCGAATTTGTGTGGCAGTGTCAAATCCTAGAAAAGAAACCTTTCACTCTGACCTGCTCTACGGAATGCCAACGTCGCCACACGGTCAGGGTAACTAACGTGAAAGACGGAAAACAGGGGTTTATATCTCTGACCTCGGAGATGATGACTTCTATATCAGAAATGCAGGTCTGCTCTTAAAAGCTCAGATTGTGACACCATATTGTTCAGGGGCTGACCCCAGGGCTCCCCAACCCTGGCAGCCTCTGTCAAAATATCACCGATAATTCATAGATTCTTGATTAAGGGCATTTGTTTGTTATGTTTGTTAGTATTTATGTCCAATTAACATCTATGGTCATTTAAGGACGTGTCAGGTTTTGGCATTGGAGGAAAGCCGGAGTTCCCGGAGAAAAAACACCGACCTACGGCCAGTACCTGGCAAACTGCCCCACGTTGGTCTCGAACCCGCGACCCCGTGGTGGAGGGCAATAGTGATCAAAACGGTCAGACGCCTTAACCACTCTGCTAACGCAACCCCTTTTACGACCGACTCATCAGCAGTGTTGATGTCATCAGTGTAATGTCTTTGCTCGGGTGAAATCACTTTTAGACCAGAGTATAGTACTTTGCTCTGATGGAATCGTTACCTAATTATCAGAATAATCAACATACATGTATTCCTCTTAATAGCGAACAAGAGAGACAGACCATACCGGATAATATCTCCCTTAGGTCCTATACAATCTTGTAAAGTAAACTAATTCAAAAATAGAAAATGTGAAATAAGTTAGCTTTGAAAAGCATTAACTGAAATGATTCTTGTTTCCTAATGTTCAGGTTTGGCTCCCTGAGTTTGGCCGAAGCACTGTTCCGACATTGACATTAAGGTGTATGCACTGATGTCAATAGGTGATAGAAACAGTCGGAGTGTTTCACGAATGGTGATTACATTTTTATGTTTAACAGATCAGAATTGCTTTTTGCCAAACTCCGATTTGTTGTAAACATTGACACACTACATTGCAGCCTCTTAATTGTACAGGATCATCACGGTTCGGCAGTGTATGTAAAGAAGAAACGAATGAAACTTTGATCGACAAAACTACTAAAATAGCTACCGAAATTACTATTATTGTTTTCTGTGAATATCCCACTGTGGAATGTATGCTTCATACATTGATACTATGAGCGCAACACCTTGCCTGCGTAAAAGAAGAGACATGTGTGATGCATCATATAATAATTGTATTATTAAGTTGTTTCGGAGACCCTTTTATATGGTTGTAGTTAAATTTGTCTTGTCTTGGATGAATGTTATACGCCATCTGACTTTGACGTCCATCTATATATTGATAACACTGGCCTTCAACATACTGCTTAACACCACGTCCAGATAGAAGAAAAAAAGTTAACATTTTAAGGTTTCTTCCGAAAATTTCAGAACATTCATGAGGTTTTCGATTTCGCGTACCGCTTTTGTATTCTTATATAATGTAAAATAATACAGTCATTATAAGACAGTCAACCTTAAAGGAAACAACTAATTGGTTTCTGTCGAGGATGACAGAGTTAATATTTATTGAGATTTCATGATTTTCTACCTACCTAGAATGTCGCTACTAAGTCAATGTCAGAAGTAAAAGATAAAGCTCGGTAGGAGAAATAATGATAGAGTTGTGTCATTTGGACCGACCAAACAGATGTTTGTACTTTATGTCTAAGATGTATTCTATTCCCAGATGAAGTTTCCGATGTTATGTAAATAACTTGGATTTCACTTATACCATGAAGTATTCACGCTTCTCGCTCTATAGCACAAAACACGTACAGATTGACGGTTAACGAAACCCCAGTGTTCATCAGGTGTTGATATTTGACACTTGCCCAACAAACAAATCACACAGAGACATCCCAACATCATTTACACAACCATGAAACAGGATGACAGTTTTCTATGTCATTCAAAAATACAAACATATTGTAGACATCTTGACGAATCTGTGTGGACAGACAACAGACGAGTGCTCCCAGCGGAGTTTCAAGTAATACTGGATATACCGTTAAAGCAATGTTAAGCGTGCAGTCTTGATTGCTCGACTTCCGACAGGGTGACACTGGTCGCTGGCTAGCTAGACAACACCTCAGCAGAATCAATGATCTAGAGTGATTGTAATGTTATTAGGGCGGCCATCACCACCGGTTTCTGTGGTGATGAAATCTCCACGGTATTCATGTCTAACTCGGGCCGACAGCCGCGGTGAACGACCGCCATCACTCCACTTAAGTATTCCCAACTGGACAGTGTATTGCAGTACGACAAAATGATACATTGATGGGGATATGGAGTCAGTTTTGCTCGATTAAAAGGTGAAAATACCAATAAAAAATCTTTGCCAATATTCGCCCAACATTGCCTTTTCCAATATTCTTCAAAAAAGTGATTTAGCTCAAGATGGCCGTTATGCAAATATTTCTTGCAAGGTTCTTCGATCTGATTAACTTTTTTTTTCTCAAGATTCAATATGGCGTCTTTCATGATGTCGTTCGATTTGGACATATCGCCTTTTCAACGACCCGAGACGCTGTTTTTGCAGTTATGTTACCAATGCAGTTATGTTTTAAGTGCTAGTTTTGTTCGTGTTAGAATAGACGACATATTCGATATTTCATGGTTAAGGGGGAGATACAAGTCATATGGCATATCCACTTGCATATACAACCCAGTGAAATATTTCACTTTAACAACAACAAGCATACCCTTATCAAATACCAAAATGTTCATTAGAACATAATTGTCATTTATAGACAATTATAATTTTAAAAAGTTAACTCAAAACTTTCTGAGAACACATTTAAATTCATTGGATGGTTGCGTCCCTAGCTAACACAAGCTAAGTCCTAAAATTCCACAAAAATGTTATTTAATTTCTTCAATCTGTAGTCTATGAAAACCTACAAAGGAATTCACTCAAAATCCCTTCACAATGAAATACTGGCACAATTTCCTGATGGTTGTTGGCCAAAATTTTCAGCCATTTTTTGCTAGAAAGTAGTCCATGTAGTCAGTGAAGCAGAAAGTATGGAGGCTCAAAACTGCAAAACTGAAATGAAAAAAAAATAAAACATTTCCTTAATTTGTATTAAATCTCTTAAAACTTTGATGGCTTTATTATCTTTAAATATAGTTTCGATTTCCAAATTGGAAAATGTTTCAGACAATCTTTAAAAAGAGTTATCACCCTTTATTTTATCTTAATTTCAAAACTGTTCAGAGATCTTCTCCCTGATTTCTACACAAACAGTCTTTAAACCTGCTTGGCTTTGTTGCACCAACATGTAGTTGTGCTTTCTGAATTGGAATTTGATTTTGGTCATATTTCACAGAACTATTGCCTTTTTATTCTGCAACATTTCAATCTTGTCCAGATATCTGTTCTCTCAGTTTTTCACCAAGATTGTTGAAACATGGCTGGCTTTATTTTCACGAGGTGTGTATGTGCTTCCCAATTCAAAATTATTAAATGAACTATGTTTAAAATAGTTATCTTTACTGGCAGATAATTTACCTCATGTATGAAATTAATGTGATGTATTATAGTCTGCAAACAGGAGCCTTTCACTGAGAATCACTTAAGAGCGAAAAAATCAATTCTACGA